CCCCACTAGGCCGGACCCGCGCGCGGGCCTCTTCTCCTCCTCACGAGGGACCGAGAGCACTTTCGCCCAGGGACGACCACCCTCTGAAAAGCCATCAGCGGCCCGGAGAGGGGACGACACCCAACAAGCGGCGAGGCCAGTTTCGGTCCCAAGAGAGCGGATCGAGGACGCCACACGTGCCTTCAGCCATCCGGTCGAGACGAGGGCAGCGGGAAGTGGGCCGGCGGCGGCGGGGAGGGGGAAGCACGGCGGGCGAGGGCCGGGAGCGCGTGGAGGGAGCCGGATCGGGGAAGGGCACGCCAACGAAGACGCGAGCTGGGCCACCAGGTAAACGTGCACGGGATCCCACCGCCACCAGCACGAGAGCGGTCCCGCGACGCCCAGGACGCCAGCCGGCCTCAGCACCCTTGGCGAGCCTCCCCGCGAACCGGGCCCCCACAGCGCTGGGGCCCAACCCCACGTGAACCCCCCACCGCGGGGGGCCCCATCGGAACCTCCATCCGTCCAGTCCATCCCCGGCAGTCGCGACCCTGAGGGAAGCGCCCCCAGGCGAGAGCGGCCCGACCCGTGTCCAGCAACACCGCCGCCAGCGGCGACTCGGGACGGGAGCGGGCGGGCAGACAGCCGCTCGCGCGGCACGGGGAGGCGGGGCGCGCGGGGGCGCCCCCCAAGCCCCTCGGGAGACACACACACCCGCGAGGCAGCAGCCGCGCGCGCGCTCGCAACACGCACGCGTGAGAGCCCCGCACACGCGCCGGACGCCGGCCAGGCCCAGCGGGATCCTCCCCCGACTCGGAGGGGGGAGGCGCAGGCCGCGGTAGGCAAAGAGCGGCGCTCGGCCCCACCGCGGGGCCGGCGGTCAGATCCCTCCTTCGCAAAAGAGGAAGCTCTGCCCAACGCGCAGCGGTAGTCACCCCGCATCGGTGGCCACTACACGCGCAGAGGAGGGGCGGCGGCTGGGGGGTTCCGGTACCCCAAGGCACCCTCTCGGATCGCTAGAGAAGGCTTTCTCACCGAGGGTGCATCGTCCCCAACCCAATTCGTTCCCCACCCCGACCGGGCCCCCGCAGAACGGCGTTCCGGAGGCCACCAGGGCTCGGGGGGAGCAGGGGTGGGTCTGCGGCAAGGGACAGGCACAGGGCCATCCTGAGCGCTCGCGGCCGGGACCCCACGAGGAGACCGCCTTTGCCCCGCCACGCACGCCGCGCTCGCGTCACCGACCCCCCGCCAGGAGCTTCGCAACCTTCGGCGAGGGAACGAGAAAACGGAGACGGGCACGGCGTGCTGCTGGGCGAAAAAGGCGGCGGCCCTCGGCTGGCCAAGCGCCACAGCGCTGGCTCGGCCCGCCGCAACCGCTCACACGCCCCGCCAGGTCCAGTCCCCCCCCCGGCACCAACCGGCGCGCGGCAGGGGACGACGAGGCGCCCGCGCCCCACCGGGGGGCGGGGTGGGCCTCCCTTACCGACTCCACCACCCGCTCCTCGGGCACGCCACCGACAGCGGTGGCCCGAGGGGGGGGTCGCCGGGAACGGGAAACGACGCCACCAGCTCGGTCTCAGGCACCTGAGACAACCTGGAGCGCTCCAGGGGCACCACGAAGGGCGAGGCGCAACGCGCGCTCAGCACACGCCCAAGCGGGTGAGCAGCGCGGCGTCGGGACGGCCCTCCCCGCCGCGAGGAGGACCGCGCACCACACACGAAGCCACGGAAGGCAAGCGAGAATGTCTGCTGCGTCAGAGGACCCCGGTCCCGCGAGCGCCGCGAGGCAGAACGCGGGAAGGCGGGGTCGGGCCGGAGCCTGCACGTCATCCCCCCGCACCCCCGACACACCGCCACGGCGGGCGGAGGCGAAGGAGCGAGAGGGCCCGCGGGCAGAACGAGAAGAGCGATCCCATTCGCCATGAATGTCCGTCCCTCGTCTGGCGCGGCTCAGGCCCGGCCCGGGAGAGCGCGAGATCACCACATCGATCAGCAAAAAGACACGCCCGAAGAGGGTTCCCGAGGGGGGAGAGCCCGGTGAGGACAGCCACCAGAGGGCGGGCCTGCTTCAAAGCCTCACCGGCACCCCTCAAAAAAACCCCAGGGCAGGAGCAGCCGGACAACCCGAGGAAGGAGAACGCCTGACACGCGGCACAGAGCCTTGCGGGACGGGGGGGTTGTCACGACCGCGGCCGGATGCCCACAGCGTGGAGCGCACGGGGTAAAAGACCCGCGTGCCACCTACCCACACCGTCCTCGGGTGCTGGGAGACCGGAGGCGGCACCAACGGCCTGGACCACCTGGGTGGGGGGGGCGGGGCACAAGAGCCGGCGCACAGGCCCACGCGGACGGCTCAAAGCCAGCTAAGGCAGAAGCCGGGCTTGGCATCACGGTCAAAGCCCGGAGCCCCGCACCACACGCCCAGAGGCCCCTCTCTCTCTTAAAGAGAGAATCGCCAAACCACAACGTGCCAGCACCTACCTGGCAGCAAAAAGTGCTCATTTCAGGTGAGAAAACAGCC